GTAGTTTTTGCCTGCGTAACCGTTAATTGGTTACAGGTGGCAGCTCTCTATTGCAGCCTGTAGGCTTGCGTAGGTAAATGGATGAGTGCTTACCTATTCTGTCTTGCAAATAGTTGTTGCTACTACGTACGATGGGAGCTTCCATCTTTAATCTGAAGACACTTAAACGTATGCGCTATCTCGTGGCAACTTTCATAACGATTCCAACGAACATTCCTTTGAGAAGGTTCCTGATACCATCCCTGTGCATTCCAGTGTTTTGGCGTGTATGTGAACACATTTGGGACTGACAGGGTTTACTAGAATCCCACCACTCCACCACAGAGTCACCGCAGTAGACGTGAGATGAGCGCTGTCGCTCCGCGGCACTTGTTTCTGTATGAAGGCCAGGTATAACACATGGTTTCTTATACATAGGACTGATAGGAGGCACAGTGGTGCACTGCCGTTGTCAAATTTAACATCGCCGTTGTGAAAATGTTCCTGTATTTACTAATAAGTATATCCTGGAAATATTTACCTATAAGTATATTAATACATCCTGTATTTGAATCCATCATGCACATTTTTTTCCCAAACTGGCCATTTACCTCCTTTGTCTAATTTTCCCTCAGTAGAAAACCCTGTAAAAGCTGTAGTCTCACAATAACCCTCGCTCAATCTTTGACCCAATGGCTGGACCCACACTACGACAGTATGAAACAGCCATAGATTTATGGAAGTATGCATTGCTACTTTATTATCGGATGCAGTTCAGCATGAGGGTGAATCGGATTTGAGGCCGCCAATAATAACTCCATGTTCTAATCGCTCCGTTATGATGTGCTGCTTCAGTTCACTATAATGGCTATCTGGAACTAAGTGACGAACCATTCGACTCGACCTACCTCCGAGGTCGTTCAGAGAGAAAAGCACTTGGTAGAGGTATGACGCTTGTTTTGGCACACACATTACCATGCTTCCCACCCCTGCCCGATCAGTCCTCAAACGTTACTACGATCAAGTGTTCTCCTCTGATCCGGACTCGCAAGTCGAACAATCGCCGCTTCGCACAATTGCGATGACACTGTCCCCTGCATTCGAGGTATACCTCTGTGTGATTGAAGCCATGTCTGCATCGATGACAGGTGACCTACTACCAGGCCTCGAGTTAGGCATCTGCACGATGAGGAAGGATGAGGAAGCACAGTTCATTCTGCTGCCGGACGTCGCCTTTGGCAAAATGGGCTGTCCGCCGCGCATCGCGCCCAACGCCCGCGTCATGTTCAAAGTGCGACTTATCGACTTTGTCGATTGCACGGCTTCGAACGAGTACGAGAACTCTACTGCGGTGGGTACTGCTCGTCTGTCACAAGTGTTAGTGTCGAAAATAGCCGACCATTTCTATGATCGGAATGTCAGTCTCAGCTCTGTGGTATCCTGACTGCGTATGTGCTGTGTATGATTAGTCTTACTGGATCACGGAGTTGGTGTAAGCAGTGTTGGAAGTAGCAGTCCATCGCCAGGTCCATGATTGGTAGTGTTTGAGCAGGACTGGTTCATTTTTATGGCTATTACTGTAGGTTATATGATGGAAATCGAAAAACTTTTGAAATCGGGGCTGAATGTGTTTTAAGTCTGCATGTGTGTGTAATTAATTCATAGATTAATTATAAGATATCATAGTTCATCTCCTCAATAGATTATATTTGTCAAGTAGCAGGAGTGCTGATGTGCATAACTGTGTGGCATGTGCATGACATAATGACTGAGGCGTTTGGTGATGGTTGTTCCTTGTATTTATCTTTAGGAAGAGCAGCGGAATATGTCTTTCGACAAACGGGAAGAGGTGGTCAAATCGCACAGGGAGGTACGTAGTAGTAGTGATGAGCATCTTGGCAATAATTTAATTGCTTGTATTAACTAGCCAAATTATATCGATGAGTGCATCGGGCTAGAGCACGTCGTATGCAGAGAAATATTACATCAGATGATAACATGGGGTTCTCTTCAGGCCTTTGATGCATGTCAGCCCCGACATGATTTTTAACATCCCATTAATTTCCTGACATGCCTTGATTTCCAATTGTGTTTACTTTTGACACTCCTAACACCGGCGTGCTATGTTTTCCCTACTCGATGCATGTCTTCGAATCAAAATGCTTAAGATGCATAATTGACTCTACGTAGCAGTTGGGTAGGAATTGCCCAATCACCCGACCTATCTTCAGTAATTGTTGGGGAGAGCCGTGTTACTGTTCCGTGTCGTCGTCCTAAGTGCTTCAAGCTGTTCAGAAAGAATGTGCGTGTCGCTTGTGCATCTCGTGCAGCTTTTGACTCGCGCCATTCCGCAGGCTGGACGCGTCATGTTTGAGACTGGACGCTATACTCAGGCGAGAAAGAGGTACAGGAAGGCTATCCGACTGCTAGAAGAGTGCAGACTCCAGGACGAAATAGAGGAAAAGAGGCAGCAGGTACGAGGACGATGGGCAGGGAAATGGAGGTTGGGAGAAAGAAAGGAAGAAGCATGATTATATAACAGTTGAAAATGTCGGCTAGGTAGTAACGAGAGGGAAGCTTTTTTTTGCAACACATTTTTGTGGAAATTTCTGTTGGGTAATCAATAATCTTTTTTTTCTGGCAGGAACTGTTGCTGAAACTCTACTTAAACATGTCAGTAACATCTATCAAGATAGGCTCCTTCCCCCAGGGCATCACATTCGCCCGCCAAGCTTTGGAGTTAGAACAAGACAATGCGAAGGCACTCTACCAAATTGGCAAAGTAAGCAGACGATACGCGATAGGATTTCGTTGCTGTCGCATCCACTTATGCTAGGGCATTGAAATTCGATCATGTTCTTCATATTATATTTGAGAAGACTTCAAACTTCACGCAGACCTCATTTCCTCTGCAAGTGTAATGTTGTTTCACTTACACTCTTCATTGAATCATGCTCCTCCGTTGTGCTTGCGTATGTAGTGCAACCTCCCCCCCCCCCCCCCCCGCCCCACCGTAAATGGAAAGCGAAAGCGTAATACTGTATACGCTGTATATTTCACGGTGGTTTTAATTTTCGCAAAATTTCGCGAACGCTTCCCCGACCGCGAAAATGACAACACGCGAAAATAACAACACGCTCTTCTTCACTGATTCGGGAATTCACCGACCGCGAAATTAACCACTCGCGAAATTGTCCATCGAGTCTGAATTCGCGAAAAAATCTGTACGCGAAAAAATATGGCGTATACAGTACTCTGTCTGCTCACGTCGATTCTCGCTGCCCGCTAACAGTGCAAGATGAACCTGGCCGACTTCGACGAGGCACGACATAACCTAGTGCGAGCGCAGAAGCTTGAGCCAAACAACGACAAGATAAAAAACCTGCTGGTGGACCTCGACCGCAGGGAGAAGGCGTACAGACTCGACGAGAAGAACATGTACCAGCGCATGTAAGCTATATTATAATGTTTGCCTCAGACGGCACTGCACGCCTAACACGGTGCGCGCGCATGCGCAATATCTCCCGAGAGCAATCGTATTTTGCAAGGATTATGCATTTAAAATGAAGAGGAGTTAACCTAGCATAGATTTATATGATAACATTCCTTCAGTAGACATCATTTAAGAAATGAAAGGAAGAGCTTGCATGTAAGGTCCCAGCTGCGTATACCAGCCAGTACACAATCTGGCTACGTTAGTGTGTTAGCGCATGCGCAATATCTCACAAAAGGACGTATATTTTGTCATGAATATGCATTTAAAATGGTACAAAACACGTACCATAGCATGTAGGGTACAAAACACCTACTTTATTCCCTCGCGGCTTTCCCCTTGCCTCCCCTGTCCTTCGCTCAGCCTCCTTCTTCTTCTATCTTCCCTGCCACCTCATCCTCTCTCCCCCGCAGCAAGCTATATATTATAATGTTTGCCTCAGACGGCACTGCGCAATATCTCCCCAGAGAAATCGTATTTTGGAATGATTATATGCATTTAAAATGAAGAGGAGTTATCCTAGCATAGATTTCTATGATAACATATATAATAATATAATATAATAATATAACCTATATTATCTTACTCCTGATAACATTCAATCAGTAGAAATCATTTAACAAATAGGTGAAAGACCTTGCATGTAATCCTTAATCCATAATCCTTCATCCATGCAGTTTACTTATAATTTATTTATTTTTCATAACAACGCTCATATATTTTTGTATTTTCCAATCGTATTATTATTCATGGTTCAAGTCTTGAATCAACTTTATGTAACTAACTGTAATTAGCGGAGTGGCTGACTTGAAGACTGTATAGTCAATTCGCCCTCCCTCGCTGTATTTATTTTTAAAAACTTGTGATATATGTAAAAATGTAATATACTTGAAAGCGTAAATAAATTTCAAAAATCAAAAATCTAAATCTGTAAGCTCCCCGCTGCGTATCAAATATAACGCCTTTAGTGATATATTGCGCATGCTCTAACACACTAACGTAGTGGGAACAAACCATAGAGTTATATATTAGACCCCTGCAAAGCCTTGCAAGACCCATGCAAAGTCTTCTGCTGATGGATTGTTATCATATAAACAGATGCTAGACATGCTAGTATAACCCCTCTTCATCTTAAATGCATAATCTTTGCAAAATATAATTTTTCTCGGTAGATATTGCGCATGCGCATTCTTTTAGGCTTGCTGTGCGGACTGAAGAAGATCGCATAAGGATGTAGGCAAATTAAGCTTTACAACTGATCTAGTATAGTAGAGCTCAGTGGTTTGCACAGCCGTTTCAGCTGATCATGGTCCATAGATGGTCCATAGATGGCGCCCTTGTGGCGAAAAGCACACAGCCAATCCGCTTCCTATGAATATACTGACTCTGAGTCTGCATCGACACATTAGGTCTTAATCCACATTATTATTCCACATTAGGTCTTATTATACCTTGCTTATATATAGGTCCACATTATACCTTATTCCACATTAAGTCTTAATCCACTTATCTTCATTTTTCATCTACAGAAGAAGGCAACATGGAGAAAGGAGATGATAATCATATTGACTATGGGTTTGAAGATGATGAAGACTCTGAAGATGAAAGAAACGAGGTAATCAAGAAAGCATTATAACATGTAGCTCTAGTACTATAGCCGCTTACATTAACTGCCGCTGGGCTATAGCATCAACCATTACGAATGCTCGGGACCAACTGACTCGTGTGGCTTTTACTAGATTATTAGCTACGTACTAGTACTACTAGTTAGTATTAGCTATTAGTATTAGCTGAGATATATTCATATATGTCCGAATATGTCAATATGAATCCGAAAATGACAGAAATGTCAGATATGTCAGAAATTGGTATTTACTATATATAAACCAGCAGACTATAGTAGTGTAGTGGCAACAAGGTAGGGGTGGCGATCTACGGTACGACACAAGACGTTGTTTCGTTTAACGTGTACGGTGGTCCGCAGTTGTGGAATTCAGTGTTCGCTGTCCTGGCCGATTTGTATTAGGCTAGGACGGTGAATGTCACGTAGCTGATAACAGGTAGCACACCTAGCCATGACAGAACACACGTGAATTCGGTTAAGCTGGACGGTACGCTTTATTGATTTCCTACTGAGTTCAGCAATAATTCCTCTGGCGTTTGCATATGGCAGCAGATCCGATCACACTGACTAAATTTAATATTGAAGAAGTATCACGTCGGCCGGTTTTCGTCGTTCCTCTCTCGGGAGCGTTCGTCCTCTCCTCAAAAGATACCTAAAATATGCTTTGCTCCGCTCTTTCTCTTCTTATTCTTCTTCCCGTCCTGCCATTCTCCCTTGTCTGCTTCTTTTTGAGCTCCTTTCTCTACCTGTACGCTTGAAAAATAACGCTGAGCTCGCCTGCTTTCTCTTCTGCCCTTCTGCTTCTTCTTCTCTTTCTTTCTTCTTCCTACCTAGCCCTGAAAAAATAAACGCTCCGTCCTTTCCAGTCTTTCTCTTCGTCCTCCTTCTTCTTTCTTACTTCTACTAGGACCTGCAAAAAATAAGCACTCCTGATGCTTCTCTTCGTCCTACCTACCCGAAAATAAACGCTCCTTCTCTTTCTCATCGTCCATCCATGCTGCTTTCTTCTCCCTTCTTCTTCTTCTTCTTCTTCCTGAACCTGACTTAAAAAAAATAACACCCGAGACGCTCATGGGCATTCGGCGCGCGCCTTATGATAACTTATGCCGGCTCCGCAGGATTTCGCGGCGCTGGTGGGCAATCCGTACGCTGGCAAGTATCATGATTGCCTCACGCCCGATGACGCAACCCGTGGCCGGTAACGGATTGTTGGCATCATCTTATGCGACCGTCCAAATACGTAAACTATTCCACTGCCTCTAACAACTTAGCCTATCGGCATTCTATTCAAATCTCAATATATTATTGGCTGGCTTAATAATAACAATAACCCTGTTGATTATATACTCATTTAACCCGGCGTCAGCGCCCTTCTCTCGTGACTCTCTCGCCTTCATCACAGGCCCCTTGACGCTGATGACCCAAGATGGCTGCGCCCATGAGCATGTTTGATAGTAATTTATGGTAGGGTCCATATCTTACCGTTCTCTTTCGCGTTCAATATCATGTGTTGATTCCATCTATAGGTGAGTTTCGTCTATCCAATCCCGAACCATAGTCTACGCACTCTGTGAGTACCACCCCCCAAATCTCCAACAGTAGTAATTAAGTCCTCAGGTTAATTTTCAAAATTAAAGCTTTTTCTACTGGCGAGCCGCATGTCTATATAACCACTTTGACTTTTGCTACTTGGACTTTAAAGACTTTAATCTTTAGGAGTTAGGAGGTTAATTGTGAGTAAGTGATCATTAGCTATAGAGCTTTTTCCACAATGTTTCAATAGGTTAGAATGTGCCTCTTGCCCACAGTTCAATTCAAATCAGTTCAATTCACTGGCACACTGGCCACTGTCAGTGTGTTTACTGTTGAATCTTATAGTTATATTCTATGGTGGCAAATTAGTGGCAGCCTTATTTTTTACAGCCGTCAGCATCAATCCAACCTATTGACTTGAATGACTGGCCTCTGTAACAAGCAGGAGGTGACCATTTGAGATAAAACCTGAAGGCGAATGAAAGCTTCAACTTCTGTGTTTATCCTAGTTTTATAAATAGCTATATCAGTCTGATTGTAAACTAGCTACATTCAGTTCTTGGTTATTAATGGGGCCACCTTTAAAAATTGTTTGTTTCCCCTTTACCTACTCCGCCTTCGGGACCGAGTATGGTATAGGTAGGTAAAAATCTTTTTTTGATTTGTTTTGACAAGCATGTGTGTGATGTATATTGTATATTCTTGTTTTGTGTATATGTTTTTGCAGGAAACGAATTTAGATTTTTCTTAATTATTTGGCGAAACGAAAATAATTTTTGTTTCATTTAATCAGGCCAATAAAATGTGTCGAGTAGCGGTGTTTGGCGAGTCGGTCGTAAAGGGGAAACAAGGAATATTTTATCTTAGGCCTGGTGGGTGAAGTTGAGATGTAGCTGATATGGTATGAGGTATTTTATCATTATATTTCAGCTAAAATCTTTAGAGAGGCTGTGAGCGCGTCAGCAACTAAGCGAAAAATGCATTAGAATTAATTTTTACATTGTTTCTAAAATGTTGTATGTCTGCTGTGTCAAATTTCATGACAGTACTGCTATTTGTATTCTGTATATAACAGATGACCCATGTTGAACAAAACCTACTTGAGCCCTGATGAAGGTTTTTCAGTCAAGCTCAACGAAAGAGTGCATAAACGTTGAAGAAAGCACTGAGGGTAATATATTAGACAGTATATATATCCTTTGCAATGGCTATAATCTCTGCACGTAATGTACGTAATATGTATGTATACGCATGTAATATAATAAGCAAAATGCCGAGACAATTACTTAGTAAGGCAGTCACTACACTTGTGGCTTTGTATTGCAGGAACCCAATTTTGACGCTCAGATTTTAAGTCGGAAGATGTCAGCGATGGGCATGGCCTAGTGTGGAAAAAGATTGATGTCCCGGGCGTTGGAGATATCGTGCCAGAATATGCTAGTGTTGAGAGTATGTCAAGATGTATTTTTTCTGTATGAAGGCCAGGTATAACACATGGTTTCTTATACATAGGACTGATAGGCAGGCAGCAGTGGTGGCAGCTGGCCATTGTCAATTTAACATCGCTGCATCGGTGAAAATGTTCCTGTAGTTTACTAAATAAGTATATCCTGTAAATATATACCTATAAGCTATAGTGCGATACATCCTTGTATTTGAATCCATCATGGCCAGCAGTTTTGTTTCCCAAACTGGCCATTTACGCTCCTTTGGTCTATTTTCCGCGTCGTAAGAAACGTGTAACAGACTGTAGTGCTCAACAGTAACTGCCTCAGCTCAATCTTTGACCAAATGGCTGACCCCACACTAACTGACAGTATGAAAGCAAGCCATAGATTTAGGAAGTATGCATTGCTAACTTTATTATCCGGATGCAGTTCAGCTAATGAAGGGTGAATCTGATTGAGGCCGCGCAATAATAACTCATGTTCTAATGCGCTCCGTTATGATTGCTGCTTCAGTTCACTATAATGGCTATCTGCGAAACTAAGTGACGAACCATTCGACTGCGACGCTACCCTCCGAGTCGTTCAGAAGAGAAAAGCACATTTGTAGAGGTATGACGCTGTGTTTTGCAGCAGACACACATTACGCGATTCCCACCCCTGCCCAGATCAGGTCCTCAAACGTTACTATGATCAAGGTGTTGGTCCTCTGATGCCGGACTCGGCAAGCTACAGACAAAATCGCCGGCTTCGCACAATTGCGACTGACACTGTCCGGCTTGCATTCGAAGTTATAGAACTAAAGCGCTCTGTGTGATTGAAGCCATGTGCTGCATCAGATGACAGGTGACTCTACTAGCGCAGGCAGCTCGAGTTAGGCATTGCTGCAGAATGAGGAAGGATGAGGAACACAGTTTCGAATTCTGGCTGGCCGGGACGTCGGCCTTTGCAAAATGGGCCTGTCCGCGAGCATACGCGCGCCCACCGCACCGCGTCATGTTCAAATGTGCGAGCGTATCGACTTTGTCGATTGCAGCCGCGCTTCGAACGAGTACGAAGAACTGCTACTGCGGTGGGTACTGCTCTGTCTGTCACAAGTGTTAGTGTCGAAAATAGGCCGACCATTTCTATATGATCGGAAATGTTCCGTCTCAGCTCTGTGGGTGATCCTGACTGTGTATGTGCTGTGTATGATTAGTCGCTTCCCACTGGATCACCGGAGTTTGTGTAAGCAAGTGTTTGGAAGTAGCAGTCCAATCGCCGAGGTCCATTGATTGGTAGTGTTTGAGCAAGGACCTGGTTCATTTTTATGCGCTTAATTACTCGTAGTGATATGATGGAAATCGAAAACTTTTGGAATCGGGCGAATGTGTTTTAAGTGCTGCGAGCAAGGCATTTGTGTTGGTGTAATTAATTCATAGATTAATGTATAAGATATGCATAAAGGTTCAATCTCCCTCAATAGATTATATTTGGTCAAGTAGCAGGAGTGGCTGATGTGCATAAGCTGTGTGGCATGTGCATGACATATATGACTGAGGGCGTGTGGTGATGGTTGTTCCTTGTATGTTAATTCGTTTAGGAAGACAGCGGAATATGCTCTTTCGACAAAACGGGAAGAGGTGTCAAATCCGCACAGGGAGGTACGTAGTAGTAGTGATGAGCATCTTGCAATAATTTAATTTGCTTGTATTAATTAAGCTGAATTATATCGATGAGTGCATCGGGCTAGAGCAACGTCAGTATGCAGAGAAATATTACATGCAGATGATAAACATGGGGTTCTCTTCAGCGCCATTTTGAATGCATGTTAGCCCGGACATGAAATTTTAACGATCCGCATTCAATTTCCTGACATGCCTTGATTCCAATCGTGTTTCCTTTTAGACTCCTCCACGGGCAGTAGCTACTGTTTTCACCTGACCTGACTGAGGGTGCCATGTCTCTCCGAATCCAAAACATGCTGTAAGATGCATAATTGACTCTAAACGTAGCAAGTTTGGGTAGGAATTCGCAAATCACCCCCGCACCTATCACTTCAAGTTAATTGCTGGAGAGAGCCGGTTACTGTTCCGTGTCGTAGTGCCTAAAAGTGTCTCCAAGCCTGATCAGAAAAGAAGGTGGCGTAGTCGCTTGTGCATCTCGGTGCAGCTTTTGACGATCGCCGCCATTCCGCAGGCTGACTTTCGGCCGTCCAATGTTTGAGACTGGACGGGCTATACTCAGCGCGAGAAGAGGTTACAGGAAGGCTTATCCGACTGCTAGAAGAGTGGCAGACTCCAGGAACGGAAATAGAGAGCGGGCGGCCCAGTGCGATCAGAGCAGACGTGGCCAGAGGAAATGGAGGTTGGGAGAAAGATAAGAAGAAGCATGATTATATAACAGTTGAAAAATGTCGGCTCAGGTAGTAAGAGAGGGAGAGCTTTTTTCTGGCAAGACATTTTTGTTGGAAGAATTTCTAGTGGGGATAATCAATAATCTTTTTTTTCTTGTGGCAGGAAGCTGGTTGCTGAAGCACTCTAACTTATAACGACAATGCTCGAGTAACGAATACCCCGCGATATGACAACCCCCGCCGGCGTACTGGTGACAAAAGCCGAGTCACCACCCCGGCACCTCCCCGAGTGCCTGCAAAGACCCCCCTCCTCCAGCGCAGGCGCGCGTGAACGCGGAGCCAAACCCCCTTGAGCCAGTCCCCCCCGCCGGCGCTCAACGTGATAGGCTGCCTTCCCCAGGGCATGCACATTAGCGCGCCAAGCTTTGGAGTTAGAACAAGACAATGCGAAGGCACCTACCGCAAATTGGCAAAGTAAGGCAGACGATACGCGATAGGATTCTGCGTTGCTGTCGCATCCACTTATGCTAGGGCACGTGAAATTCGTTCAATGTCTTCAATTATATTTGAGAAGACTTCGAACCTTTGGCGTCAACGCAGGACGACCTGCATTTCCCTCCAATACAACAGCAAGTGTAAAGTGTTGTTGTGCACTTACACTCTTATTGAATCAATGCTCCCCGTTGTGCCTGCGTATGTATGGCAACCGTCCCCCCCCCCCACTGTAAGATGGAAACGGTGGAATGCGTAATACTAGTCAGTAACCTGTATAATTTCGCTAGTGGTTTTGAATTGTCGCAAAAATTTCGCGCGAAGATCGATACGCAGGTGACCCAACGACGCCGAGGACGACCGCCAACCGAGAAAGATCAAAGGCCCACTAAGTGTGGCCTACCCTTTTCCCGGAATCTTACCGCGGCCGCCCGCAGAAGAGACCCGCGGAAATGCGAACTGACCAACGGTAGGCGAAATAACAACACAGCGTCTTCGCTTTCACACATGCAACAACACCGCTCTTCTTCGCTCAGCAACCTTGTCAACATGATTTCGGGAATTCAACCCACGACACCGAGATCCCTGCGGCGGAAGCAACACACGCCCAACGGCGCGAAATTAACGCCACTCGGCGAAAATGTAACCGACCTCGCGAAAATTGTCACATCGGAGTCTGAATCAGCAATGAAAGATATGTGTATATAATACCGCGAAACAATTATGGCGTATACAGTACTCTGTCTGGCTCACACGTCCGATTCCCCGCTACCCGCTAAACAGCTGCAAGAGCGAACCACGCCTGGCGCGACTTCGACGAGGCACGACATAACCTAGTGCGAGCGCAGAAGGCTTGAGGGCCAAAACAACGACAAGAGATAAAAAACACTCTGCGGTGGACCTCGACCGCAGGGAGCACAGGCGTACAGACCTCGACAGAAGAACAATTACCGAGCGCATGTCTCCAACCACAGCCAGTGAGTGCCATCACCCGCCGCGCCCCCCCCAGCCCTACCCACCCCACAGCCACGCCAGTGGAAAAAATTATTTATTTTTCGGGCATACTTTCAAGGCTCGCGCGCATGAATAATTGCACTCTATTTTTTTCACTGCACACACCACCACCATCATCAAGCCTATAGTGCACTAGAACGATAATCAGACACGCCGACCGGTTTTGTTCGCCCGGTTTCATCTTGCTCTTTGCAGTAAAACTGCTGTTGTCTTTATATGTAGGAGTAAATCGCCAGGGTGTATAACTTCTTGTGTGAATTAATCGCATGTGCTACAAGGTGTCGCATTTCTCACTGCACAGATTCACAGGCTGCACCTAAAAATCCAGAAAGCTGCCCAACGACTGGGAATATAGACCTGCTCACGACCGAGTTTGCTAGCATGATGAGGAGGAAACTCAGGTATATGTGCAGCCTAGTATTGTTCACCTATTTACAATAATGAAGAATACCCTTGTCAACTATTACAAATTACATATTATTATTACAAACAGAGCCTGTATGATGTGACTTGACTCGTTAGTATTGCGAGGATTTGTGGGTGCGTGTGTCTGTGCATGCATGCGTGCTTGGGCACATGCGTGTACCTGTCCAATCTTGTCCAATGTATGTACACTGTAAAAGTTGACTGCCAGGCTAATTCTCTGCTGCTCGCAATACATTTCAGTGAGTTCAAGGAGCGACAGGAGGTCCCTGACCTGACGCTGGGGAGCCGCCAGCTGCTTGACTCGCAGTTGGAGACTGTGACACAGCTGGCCAGTGAACTCAACCTCAGAGTGACCAAGACTGTCGAGGTACGCATGCGGCGAGCGCGTAAGCAGAATGGCAGGAGGCACAGGCAAACTGCTGCTGAGAGGGTCTATGTCCCCCAGGGTACTGCCGGAACGTACCCTGGTACTATCTAATATGCTGGACCGTATCTCGCCTACTCCACTAACGAGTCTAGGGAGTCACCTACGCCTACTCCCTAACCCTAACCCTAACCATAACCATATCAGATAGTTACCAGGGTACGTTTTGGTATACCGGACCGTACCCAGGGTACGTTCCGGCAGTACCCTGGCGGACATAGACCCTATGAGCCAAACTGCTGTGGTCTGCTGAACACAAATTGAGCTGTTTGTCAAACATTGAGACGGAGTAGTGAATGTGTATAGGGAGAGGCGGAATAGTTGTGTGAATGTGTATAGAAATAGAATAATTTTGTGAGTGTATATATAATGACAGAATAGCTGTGTAAATGTATGTAAAGATGCTATAGTTGTGTGGATATCAGGAGTAAATGATAGGGAAGGAGTGTGACTTCAATAAACAAGGGAAATTCGTCATTTACTAGCCTTATAATACCTACGATTTACTACGCGTAACTCATCCAACTTGAGCTCAAATCGTACACAGTACATTCGCCTAGCATCGTGTGAAATCGTTTCCTTGTATACAGACTACAACGTACGACATGATTATCCATTCTTTGGCCATCAATCCGAACGTATTCCCCGCTGAACTTGCAAACAAAAGGCAGCTACTAACCATTCTTGCTCACTCGGCGAGGCGGTGTGGCTTTCAGGGAGTTGCGGTGGGCGTGCGTGCATGGGGGGCATACCAGCTGTATGCTGGTATGTAGCTGTATGCCGGGTCAAAGGTTATCTCGACGAGTGTTGCGTCGATGTTCAATCTCCCAGCGATCCACACCGCCTCGCCGAGTCAGCGAGAGTGGTTAGTAGCTGCCTTTTGTTTGCAAGTTCGGCGGGGAATTCGTTTGGATTGATGGCCAAAGAATGAATAATGGTGTCGTACGTTTTAGTCTGTATCTCCGGATTGCTGGTGTATACGAGAAAACGATTTCGCACGATGCTAGGCGAATGTACTGTGTACGATTTGAACTCAAGTTGGAATAGTTACGCGTAGCAAATCTTAGGTATTATAAGGCTAGTAAATGACGAATTTCCCTTGTTTATTGAAGTCACACTCCTTCCCTATTATCTACTCCTGGTGGATATGTATAGAAACAGTATAGCTATGTGGATATGTGTTGGTGAAATCATGTAGAGATGTGAAAGTTGCTCTGCTGTAGGGAGTGTTGAAAGTTAGGAGGGATTGCAATTGTGCAAAGTGATTAAAATAACGTTTGGCTTACCCTATCTGAGAGAATTGTAGTTGGTGCTGAATGTAAACTGTTATTGCTGTGATACAGTCCTACCTGATATGTTCTTAATCACATTGATTTAATACGTCAGTTTTAAGTTATAACTACACCGGGATCTTCTTTATTAGCACTGTCCAATGTTTTATGTCGTATTGTGCTTTCTTAATTTACAGGGAGAAGATAAATTCCTGAAGATTGAGAGAAAAACATGAGATGTTCCTATGTGGAATAGTCATCAAATGTTTCGGTGAAGAGTCTCAGGGAAATTGGGTTACAACATTGCCGAGCTATAATTTCATTTCAGTCCATATTGCTTCATCTTTATTTTCATGTACTTAAGGAAAATGTTTTGAAGCCCCTGCCACTTGAATCACTTAATTGCTTGTTTATTTGTTGATTAGTGAGCTTTGTGATGGTAAATACTTTCCCTTATAAAACTTAACTATAACTTTTGTTGAAATGGGCATAAAAGCATAAACGCCATTTGTGTTTATATACTTTGAAGTTTTTCATTGATATATCCATGTGAGATTTTATAGTTGCTTAGCCTTTTTTTTCGATTTAATGTGAAGAATTTATATGTACCATGTTATCATTGAAGAAAGGTCGTAGGGCATTTGCACCCTGGTTTATGTGTGGAAGCCTCTTTATGGACCAAAATTGCTTCCTTGTTTGATGTGTTGGTGTTTTGGCAATTTCAGTTATAGGCTCATTGTCATATATAGCAATCTAACCAAGAGTGAATAATCAGCAATTCTGTTCCTCGAATTATGACGATGATGGCATTTGCTTTAATTTTATTCTTGTTGTCAATTTTATGCAAGAGGTTCGACTTCAACAATATCCGTGCAAGACAGCATGTGCGCCATGCTACTATATCAGTGTGTAAGCACTGTATTCTGTTTTTTTTTCACTTGCTAACAAATCTGCCATGAGCCAAATTCGATCTTTTTGAACTATGTATGTATTATGCATAAGCTAGCTAGCACCTATACCTAGTCTAAAGTTCAAAACGAAAAAGCCATGGAGAAGTTTTCCCGTTATAGCTTGAGGAAATCATGTCATTTCGTGTGGTATGTGATGTACGTACGTATTATCGAAATAGCATTTTTGACTGGAGATAAATGAAGCATACATGGGTTCATTGTAAAACACGTACCTTGATCAGCTGTCTAACGTTTTAGCTGCCTGTGTGATTAAGATACTCATTTTGTATTCACATCTTCTTAAGCTCTAAGAAGTGGAGTACCTGACACTCTTGTCTTTTGCATTATGAATCGGGTGAACATTGTATAACTGTATATTGCCCTTATGTCTAGTAAAAAAACGATCATACCATAGATGCTGCGCTTGCTATAGCATCATATAATTTTTTTAATAATGTATTATTTCTGTATTATCGTTTTAGCCATTATTTTGGTAATAAATAAGGTGTCGTAATGAAAAGAATTAATGCTGTAGATGCTAATTAATATATAGTTTACTTCACATTCACATTGCAAATGCTGTGGGAAAATGTAGTTGAATGACGTGTTACGACACTTTCATCGAGCTGTTAATGGATTTTACGACGCTGTTAATGGCCTGGTTATAATAATATGACTCCCTCGATCCCCCACCGCACCCATTTATTTACTCACTCTTTTACGTTTCCCGTCCACCACTTTAATTTACCTTGTCTTTCTCAACTCGCACCGTTCCATTCTCTTTTCAGTTCGTTATCTAATTAACACTTGTCCTCCTCGTCCCCTACTCCTACTCATCCCTGAACCTCTTCTTTAATTTCTTTCTTTCCCCAGTCTTCATCTACAGCGCTTCCCTTATGTGAAAACATGACTGAATTAACAAAGGCATAGCATGCATATGGTGGTAAAAAAATTAAATGCGCATTATGTCTTGCAATTACACATTGATCGAGTGAGTCATTGGCATAGACAACGTTCATTCTTGCTGTCGCCCTCTCCCTTTCTCTTCTCTCCCCTCCTCTCTCGGTCTGCCCCTCTCTCCCATCTCTCTATGCCTTCTCTATCCACCCTTCATTTCTCTCCCAATCCACTTACCTCGTGGCGGTACCGCCTCTGCCACTTGGTCATCTACCATCCCATCCCTCTTTCCCCCTTCGTCTCTTGATTAATTCTTCACCACCTCTCCTTCCCACACTCCCCCCTCCGCATCTTCTCTTCTCATTTGAAAACTATACGTCAGTATGTCGTCTCTTCTTTAAATGCATTATTCAAACAAAATAAGAATTGATTTTACCATATGCTATAGTATAGACGGGAATCTTGTATCTTGTATCTTGGGGTCCCTCTGTTGTATTTCACAAGGCACAGATTCTCTTGGAATGTGCGGGGAAATCCTGTAGATAAGGAAATTCTGTCTACAAGTTAGCATTAATTAATTAACTTTCTCTAATTGATAATGCCTTGAGTATTACTTAAGTAATGCCTTGCCAATTACTTTCTCTAATTGGGAATGCTAAACACGAAACCCGTGTCACCGGGTGAAAGCGCAACTACCGATTAGCCCAGTGACCGGCTCAGCAGCATATAAAGAAGTATGGCGTGGTGTGAAGTGTTTGTATTTGTTGGCATTTGTTGCATATTAAATGCAAATACTTCACATGCATATTCGCACTGGGTTGTGACAGAAGATGGTCTCATCAAAGCTCAGGTGTGATACGCAAGTGATTGACGCGATTCCCTTAAATCTAAATAACAAATCTAACGATGATCTGATTATGATAATGATAAACTTGATAAAGCTTTATCACAGTGACAATCACTGAATCAGCCTCCACTTCAACTTGAACTTGTTCAAGTTGTTGTTGTTGTTGAACTAGTACTAGTAGTAGTAGTAGAGTAGAATTCAGATTTCATTTCAAATCTTATTTACGCTATCAGCCTATACAATGGTCACATATATAACAGTAATCGGTCAGTATAGCGGCCCATACACGCACAATGTAATTGACAATAATATTGGTATTCTGTTGGCCACCAACGGCACCATGTCAATAATAATAATATTTTGCTATTGTGAAATATCGTCATTTGTGCTCTGATGCTGAAGGTGAACAGACATGGATCCTAGGGTTGCCCTTGCGAAAAAAGGCTCATGTTTGGATAGCTCTAGTAACTATAGCCCGCGTACAGTTGCCGCAGGTTATTATAGGCTAAAAGTTGTGAGAATAAAACTCATATGCAGTTGCCATATGAAGTTCTATAGCCCTGCGGCAACTGTACGCGGGCTATAGTTACTAGAGCTCATGTTTGGAGAACATAACTGTTATAAACAGGGTTTCTTCTGAGGGAAAATTAGACAACGGCGGTAAGGCCAAAACAAAATATAGGTGTGGTTACCGTTTCATGCCGAAAAAAAATAGGGTAGGTAGGTAGGGAAAACATTTTATTTTATTGAAACATTTTATTTACGAACCATGGGGCCGTTGTCAGAAACAAAATTAGTCGCAACATTAGTCTTACCATTAACTTCCACTCGTAAACCGTTGACAGAAACATCGTAAGGTTACGAGAACGAAAAATCCTCGAAAATATCCTCATAACATTACGAGAGCCCAGACCCTCTCGTAACTTTAATATTAAGTTGAAAATAACACATTTACACTACGAATTACAATTATAGTGATATTATATTTTATAATAATGAATAAAATGTGTGTTTTTCTTGAAAAACACGTCAAAATCATTAATTATCTAGCGCTAATAAAACAAAACAATACATTTACAAATGGCGTATGGCATTTGTTCTCTTGTTCTAAAGGTTTTCCACGCTTGCCACGATTCTCGCGTCTCGCGTTACAGTGTGAGAATTTGTCTTGTTGTGCAGAATAAATTCATGACCACGTCGTTTTTCGTCAAATATTATTTATATGTGGTTAGCCATCATAATATGCATAAATTACTGTGATGTACAATAAATGTGTATGAATTTGCATTTTGTGATTGATTCTCATCCAATCAGCAGCCTTGTGATGAAGTTCCTGTTATCGTAAGTTTTCTGATAGCTGCGATGTGTTTCTGTCAACGCTAGTCTCGCAACATCAGCATTAGTCGTAAGTGTTATCGTAGCATTAACTTCAGCATTAACTTTACGATGTTTCTGACAACGGGCCCCATGTCCGAAGGATGTGCGTTGTGCCTTTTGAAGCAGGAACTGTCCAATTCATTTTTTTCTTTTTCATTTTTATTTTTTTATTTTAAAGAAAATTTACAATAAAATGTTTAGGGTCGCTGGGAATAAATAGGGTCGGTCGGAAAACGGTAACCACACCTATATTTTGTTTTGGCCTAATGGCCAGTTTGGGGAAAAAACGTGCAGGATGGATTCAAAGGGATGCAGTAGGCACGAATGTGGATTCTGCAGGCAGACGCGGGGGGAGAGAGGTAGAGGTGGGTTCTGGGGGTCTCCCCCAGCAAAATTTCAAAAATTTGAATCTCTTAGACTGCATTTGAGGCACCCCGAAAATAAAATTTCACCTTTTAGTTTATATCTTACTCTGTTAGCAGACCTACCAAGTCTCATGCATTTCGCGGGAGACTCACGCACGCATCTGGACCCATTCTCCCGCACTCCCGCATGCCCTACGCATTCTCACGCATTCACGCAAAAGAAAAAGAAAAGAAAAATAGCAGCCCGCGACATCTCTAGCTGTTACCCAGGTCTGTGGCTGTGCACATCGTGGCTCGTGCTTGCTGGCTGGGGCGGCATTGATTGAAGTACGGGGGTGGGGGCGAATGCACTGATTGTTAAACTTAGAGTCGCGTGGGTATGCTTATTGCTGTAATATGTAGGGGTGGGCACCGCTGGTATGAGGGAGCGACAGCAAAACTTTCCTGGAATCGAGGAAAAAGCTGCAATCAGGAATGACACAGGAGTGTGCCGGCACGCAAAAAGAAACATTGCTGTGAATTTCATTACGATTTTCCATGTATATAGTCAGAAGCACGTGGTGATCTACCGTATATACTCGCGTAATAACCGCAAATTTGGCCTCAGATTTCAACCCTGTATTTGCTCTGCGGTTTATAAGTGCGCCATACCGTGAGGGGAAATATACTAGGCGCAATACTTGTTTACCCGGTTCAAATTGAGGTGCGGCTTATAGGCGCCCGCGGTTATTACGCGATCATATACGGTATTTATTTTTGGATTGACACTATTTTGAAAATGGCAGGCAAATACAGGAACATTTTCACAACGGCGTTGTTAAATTTGACAACGGCGGTGCACCGCAGTGCTTCCTATGTAGAAGAAACCCTGATAAATAATGTTGGGTGAACATAATGGCATAACTGTTTAGGTGCCAAAATCGTCTCAGATTGATCAAGATTGATCAGATTTATCAGATTCATTACATTGTTCAGACGGCCCTCAATTTAAAGGAATAATATGGCCATTGATTATGCAATGTTGACGAATGCTAGAGTAACTGGCACCTTGTGTAGTTAATAAGTACATTACCTTATAGCCAAACGCGTATTAGTTTGTCCAATATCACTGCTGGTTACTAAGAAATGTCTAATTGAAATCCACAGTCCAAGAAATGTTTACAGTTTACAGTTTCACTTTCAAACCGCTGCACGCAAAGCGGGTGTGATATAGATTTATAGTGCACCGGACATTTTCGCACGCATGCTCGGCCGTACGCAATGCTATCATCAGTGATTTCGTAAACACGGACGCTTGTGATAAGGAACTTTTTGTCAGGGCTGTCTATGTGCGTCCGTGATTAGTACGTGTGTTTTACTCCGTTTCCATGTTTAGTCCGTGGCCGTGGTTACACAGCTGACACCTCCATTTCATCTGGCGTCCAAAACATACGGGCCGCACAAATGTTTACGTCGTCGGCGACTTATCGCTTGACTCCTGGATGACATTTATGGCACGTAAATGAATATCAACAACCGATTTCAAGTCTTGTTTGTAATGTAACCAGCAGTGATATTGGACAAACTAATACGCGTTTGGCTATAAGTAATGTACTTATTAACTACACAAGGTGCCAGTTACTCTAGCATTCGTCAACATTGCATAATTAATGGCCATATTATTCCTTTAACCGAAATACACGGTGACATGTACACTTACTATTTGTCAACATTTACAAATTGTGTGTAAATATAGAAGGATAACTCTTTGCTGCCTGCATGACTTCAGAATGAGATATTGCACAATGTTCTGATTATGTGCCACCAACTACATAATAATATTGCACGACCTTCAATAAATATCTACTGGGTTTTGATTCCGTCAGAATACTGCGCAAGTCAAAATTTTCCTTCAATATTACCCACTAACGATCAATAATATTGTCAATATTCATTATTGACAATATTATTGTCAATGATATTGTTCGTGTATGGGCTGGTCAGCGACTGCGCGCTCGTGAATTTACTTGATGTGAATTATGAGAACTAAACTCACCGATTAAAACTAAGTCAATTGATCACTCAAGCAGCATGACATTTTGTTTTTTAAAAGCTCCCATTGTTGGTGCTAGAATCCTGGAGGCTATGAGCATGATTTAATAAAAAAGTTGTTCTCCGTTGACACCACACAATCCATTCAAATTTCAATGATTCATGGTTCAAAAGATTTAACTCTGGTGCATTCTTACAATACGTAGATATCACTGACACTATTAAATATCGCAAATGGCTCAATCTTAGCACCCCGGATTAGTTTAGCACACATACAAAAACAGATTTTCATGATCTCAAACTAGGATTGTGCATCGAAAATTCACGTGACACTGAAGAGGTTACCAAGTGATGCATCAAGTTCTTAATATTACCAAAGTACCATTATTAACTTAATAAATATGTAAAATCAATCTGTCCCTGCTGAAATCCATCGGGGCATTTAATGTGACGATGGATTAGCTAGGCATTATTTGAATTGATCTCAGTCAGCTTGACTGTAGGCCATATCTCGTCAATATACAGCTTCCGATGATTAACGCAAACGAGATAACGTTTGCTCCATCATCCACCATGCATCGTGAACGTCGCGTGATTGTTGCAGGCCGAGTCCGACTTTGACCTCCAGCGACCTTACGACCTGATGGGCTTCATACGGCAAGAGCAGCGGGTCGAGCTCGTCGAATCGCTCCGGCTCGACCTCGTCAATCAGAAGAACATGATCGACGCGACCGAGGACAAGGAGACGGACCTGGAGGCAAAGTTCTACGCTCGCGACCTTGACTGCCTGCTGGCTGGGAAGCCCCTCACAGAGTTTGACCTCTACATGAGCACGGTGCTGCCGCTGGAGAAGAAGGGCTACCAGTGAGCGATCCGCCTCGATCGTGACTTCTGAACAACAACTCGGCAGACGTATCTGTGGGCGTCCGATCAAAAATTCAGTCGATGCTTTGAGAATTTGGAGTCCTAACTTTGTAACAGATCGTTCGTAGTCCAAGGGAGTAATCCGAAGGAAATGAGGGTCTAACATTGATAAAATTGGCAGATCAACAGTCTAATTTGCAGTAGAAAAGGTTAATATTTTTTAGAAAAGGTTCATGTTATTCGAAAAGGTTCATATATTTAGAATTTTAGGCTCTTTTTTCTGCTGAATAGTCTCTAGGACTGAATGTTATTTGTTATGACATGTATGAGGTTATGTCTCTGGATTTTCAAACTATTGATTGGATTTTGGTCCGATGCTCACAGATAAATCAGCCTAGTCGATGTTCAGAAGTCACAACTGCGCATCTCTGCTTGCCACTTAGTGTAGTGGCACATTGAGTACAGTATATACTCTGTAACTGAAATCGAACCAAACTGTTTTCGTAGTGAAAGTGAATCTGAGTTTCTTATCCTTAATCTAAACGTAACTCTACCCATAACCCTTACCCTGATTTATAACCGTGACTCTAATCTATCCATAAATATAACCCTACCCCTTATTCTAATCATATTTCCTAACCCATCCCCTAAATTTAACTCTCACCTGAAAATCTATGCTCTTACAGATGTTACATCCCGAAGGTCTTGCATGTCAGAGGGTGTGGTCAAAATTGCCTAGAAGTTTTATAAATCCGTACTCGTAGCTGGCCTAGTGTGGTTAGTGATGTCTTAAATGAAATCCGATCTTTATTTTGACTTTAACATTTGTTATTGTTTGTTATTTAATCTGCAATTCTCGCTGTTTAGTGAGATATGGCTCACTGTATGTGCCACTAATGCGTTGTAGGATGCGTGATTGGCTGAAGACAATGCCGGAAATGCCAGGAGAGCTCGAGCCAGACTGCACTGCCATCATTGATCTTCCTTTCAGCATGAAGGCTTTTGAGCACCTACCTGTAAGTAAAAGCTAAGAGTTGCGTGAAGCTATGTGGTCATGCAAGATTTGACTTTAAACTGTTAGACATTTGTATTGTAAAATAAACAATAAATAATAACATACAATGTAATATTAAATAACAATAATAAAAAACAATGCTCTCCATTGATCTAATGAATCATTGCACCGTGCTTTCCTATCTGATGGCGGTGCAAGAAAGTAAAAAGCTAAACAGATCTAACTATATGCTGCTGTGCTTTTGTACAAAAGGTCATGCAAGAACGTAGGAAGCTGAGAGCAATGCCAGAGAAGGGACTCGAGAGCGCCATACTGGAAGGCGTCGACGTTGACACATGGGGGCGCCACCTCTACCCCAGTATGAGGAACAATCGGAAATCGTGGCTGTTCTTCAACATGGCTTCCTTCTACTGGAGGATGAAGGGCGAAGCTTACCAGGCAATTGAGTGCATTCGACGGGCACTACACTTTGCACCAAGGTAAAATAAATCGTTCGGTCGCAATTTTCATATTCGAAGTCGGAAGTGTCTGGTGTAATCTGCTCTGTGAGTATGCCACGGAAACGTCGGTACGCCATCTGAAAAAGCCGTGAAAGGTGCTTACGCGGGTAAATATTTCTCCATGGGAATTAAAGCGACACTTTTTCTTGCGTTCTTGCTTTTGTCCTCGGACGTGACGACCATTTGTGCTTTCAGAGAGCACACCGACTTTGCGCTGGTGAATCTCGCAAACGTGCTGCACCGCGCGCAGCACTCGCAGGAGGCGCTAGTGGTGCTCAAGGTTTCGCTGGACGTCGCTCCTGAGCTCATGGTGAATCACTTCACGTTGGGTAACGTGTACGCGGTAAGTGCCAGCGTCTCGCACCCTCGCTTCTCTGCTCGCGCCCGTTCAGTTTACGTCGCTCGCACTGCTGCAGCCTACCTACAACAGGTCTGAAGGCTCACTCACGGTAACAGTGGTGATGATAATGATGATAGTGATGATAGTGATGGTTTTAATATTGATGGCATGCTGATGATGGTAATGATGATGGTTATGGTGCCTAATCGATCATGTCCACCTAGCGGAGGTTTGTGACCCAAGATGAAGAATTGTGTATCGGGGAGAAAAACTAATTTTTCCGGAAATAGCCGAACGGTAGTAGGGCACAACTTCGGGATCGCTCGGGTCCATAATACACATGTGTACACACGCATTGTGAACCCTAACCCTAACCCTAACCCTAACCCTAACCCTAACCCTAATCCTAATCTAACCCTAACCCAAAACATAAAAATAAAAAAATAAAATAAATAAAAAATAAACAGATGGATTACTCTGGTATGTAAAATGAGTATTTCTCCCTGGTGCAATAACCCAAGATGAATGCCGTGTGTTGCGCGGTGGTAAAACTCTTCGTCGTCACAGTCGTACGTTAGTGAATAAATGCTATATGTTCCTGTGAGATTGGTCTTCTAAGTAAACTGAAGTTACTAGCTGAGCCTAGCCAACGACGGCAGCTACGTTCTAGGTAGTGGTAAATCCGTTGTGATTGTGATGTTGGTATATTAAATACGGTTGCAGGTGCTTGGCGACTACAACAGCTCAGTGCTACACTTTGAACACACTGTGAACATTCAGCCAGACTTTGAGGAGGCAGAGGAAGCATGGAAGAGAAGCCATGCTGTCCTCTGTCATAGCAAGCTGGAGATGGCACTGGAAGAGCAGCACAAGTAATCCAGCACAGACCGTTACACTCTATAGTCTTTGCCCCACATTCACAGTTTTTTGTGAAGTTATTTCTTAGCTGCCAGCTATACCAACATACCTCACCAGTATTTCGAAGCTGTCTGACATTTCTCTGCTGATGTTTTAAATCTCAGGATCTGTTTTGCAAAATCTGTAGATGGAGAATGCGAAAAAGAACAGGGTAAATAATGGCAGATAGACGGATTTTAAACCAGGGTTAGAATAATCTCTAAATCTTGACTCGTTTCTGTACAGGTCTCTTCAGCGCACGCTGGAAGAGCTAAAAGAATACCAGACAAAGCATGAGAAGTGGATGAAACAACAACAGAGGCTCCTCCTGGTGAGAGAAAAACCAGACGCCATCTCCAGGAAGAAGGTGTTTTATGAAAAGTTCAAAGCCAAAGAGCACTGGAGTCAGCAGTGTGAGTGACTCTCAATACGATAGCCCTCGTAACATAGAATCGTATCAATATTGGTATAAAACTGTTCACAACCTATAAACAATAGAGAAATATATCAGTAAGCATCAGACACTGGTGCATAAGACTGGAGTAGATAACAGCTAGACCTCCCATAGCAGCTTTCGATGAAACCCATGCACGCATCATATTTGCAGCGGGGGATGAGCAGACAGGGTGCAGGAAGCAAATAAAAGAGAATGGGCACGTGCTGATCAGCTGTACCCTGGATACCAAGAGCCTTCATGCTGTCAGGAAGACCAGAGCTACAGCCACGACTGAGAAGGTGAGCTGACCCTGGCATTCAACTTATGCAAGGATATTAAAGACACTCCAACTAGCATTTTGTTTTACCTGGACATTCGTTGTCGAATGTCAGTTCTGACCACATTTGCAAATGTCGCCACTGCACGTGTGAGGTTGCAATTTGGCGACAGAGTAATTAATTAATGTAATTAATTATGCGTCATTAAGGAGCCGCCCCCAGGGAAGCAGCGTGGCAACCACAGCAAGCCCACGGCAGATCCTCTATACACAGAGGAGAACACGCAGCCGTCGCCTTTCGACGATCCCGATTGGCCGAGCCAGGAGGACTGCGCGACTCACGTGCGAAATTTTCCGCAGGCCAAGGAATTTCCGGCAGAGTTTCTGCCTGCGGAGAACAAAGGCTTCGAGTGAGTGATATTCGTCTGCCAGCACCTTTATTCCGCCGGTCAAAACAGCATTCCTGCGAAACTCATTTTCTTCTCGACAGCCGGTGTGTTACGGAGAATTTCGAGTTCCAAACTCTGTGCTTTCGCATCTACATTTAAATGTGTGCCGACGACTTTTGGTCAGCATCCTCTTAATCTCATCATTCGTGTGCGAAGACAGCAGATTTTCTGTCAGATCTACTCGAGTACTGATGTTGTGCAACGAAAGCAAAGGGTTGTGCTTATGTTGTTCCAATGACAATGTCGCCTTTGCTCGTCATACCACTCCACATGGGTCCCTTTGCCTGAACCACAGTGAATGATTAAGAAGCAATGTCAAGGATATCACTACTTTTTTCCGCGAAGTGTTACGGCGTCGCAGCTAGGACTTGTGATGGTCGTAACCGTTAACGATTTTCTCGACAACCCCTGATTTGAATTTCTGCGTCGCAGCGTGAGAGCACTGCTAGGCGAGGCGCAGGGGTTGGCGGCCGGTGCGCAGCACGCCTTGCCTTGGTTCCCGCCGCACTGTGATATCATGAAGGGCGAGTCGGCCGATCACCTGCCAGACTTCGGTTCCCTGCTCGAGATGTCAAAGGTGGCGCCTGAGCAACGGCTAAAGCGAGTAAGTGCACTAGTGTTGGAGATCGGTCCAAATTTTATGATCGATCGTCGGTTTTACAAAACGACCGATGATCGATTAATCATCGATCATTTTAGATTGCGGCGACGTCGCGGTGACGCCGCGTCATCGTCGATACAACCGGTGTATTGCGAAGGAATATTGACATTCTGACATTATGGTATGTGTAGCTAGTATTTAATGGTAAGTAAATTAAGGATACTGTTGGCATGATTGTATGTGTAGCTAGTATTTAATGGTAAGTAAATTAAGGATACTGTTAGGGTTACGGATGGGTAACACTCTAAAGGGCATTGCAACATAACTGCTCATCAAATTCAATAAAAAAAAAGAAGAAGAAAAGTTCGTCGGTTGTCAGATTTTCTACTCGATTAATCAACTCGGCAGCCCAAACGAGTAATGATCGACGAATTCGATTAATCGGAACACCACTAAAGTGCACGCAGACATTATACGGAAGCATGCGCTGGGGGGTGGGAATGGGTGATTCTGCAAACAGCTAGGGTCTGTGGGTATACTGTTGGTGTTTAGATAACATCTCCGTGGCTATGGTCGACATGGGAGGTCTTCTAGAGGCAGTAAAGCGCTTATTTTCTGAATTTTGTAGTGGCGCCACTATAAAGACAAAAAGGCTTGTCCCTCCGCATGTACACTGAATATTGAGACATATCTGTCGTCGTGGTGTCATGGCAGTCGGCTCTTTGTGAACTAATACACTTATGCCACACGAGAAGCAAACTGTCTGGGTTCATAAATTTTTCACGCATTTGATCCACTTTGATTAAGTTATCAGAGCATCCTCCAACGACTATGTTTGTGTTTCTTCACTTGCAGTTTCTCCTTGGTTACGTCAATGATGGAAACGCAAATCTGGAGGAGGTAGGCCAGCGGATACTCTCCGCCCTCAAGCAGGTACGCTAAGTAGCAACTAGTAGTAAGTAATTCAGGTAGGTCCCGTTTTATGATGGTCCATTTTACGACTTTTCACATTAACGACCTTATCAAAATGACCTGAAAAATAAAACAAAAAAATAACAAAAAAATCTCAACTCAATAACACATCGCAGCAACGCCTGTGAGTCCAAACACACGATCAAACTCTACGACAGATGGCGCTCTTGCTCTGGGTCAATTCACCACTGCCACAAGTAGATTTCCGTGAGAATATTCTAACGCTTTTTTACCACAAGTTTTACAGCGGCCAGGTTACTCGTATCCTATGTAATAAGATTTGTACTAATAAAAGTTGCAAAGATATTAAAAATCAGACCATTATTTCATGAAAAATTTGATGAAATAGTGATAAGAAATAGTGCGCGGGTTGTGCGCCCATTTACCGAGCTATCAAATCATACGCTGTTTACAAATCGCCATTCGCTGGATTTTTCTGGAGCTCCGCCCACTTTAAAAATAGTGCTAGCCTTGCGGCAGTGGTATCCTGAGTTGTACGAAGGGGGCACTGCATGCAGTTTGACACACAATATGTGCTTGTTTTATTTTTTGTGGTGCATTGTTTATTTTTTGTGGTGCATTGTGGGAGGATTAGTCTTGTTTTACGACTTTTCATTTTACGACCCTGTTTTACTGGAACCTAACCCTGTCGTAAAAATTGGACCTACCTGTAGTTACAAAACATTAGCATCTCCATGTGGTCAACAGTCCCGCATTTCACCTTTGCAACGGAAATTAAATAGTATAAAAATTCCACGTCTTTTATTCAACCAAATTGTGTCAGAGACCATTAAAAGAAACAAGTTACGAGTTTCTCATACACAGTGTATGGAGGTCTAGTCTATGGGGAAAAGTTCATGTTAGGACTAATGTCAAGAATAAGTTCGTTTCTTATCATTGTTGCGAGTTTGCACTGTGCTGTTCACACGCGTTGACTGGCTGCTTGCGGTTACAGGAGCTAGGTGCACCGTGGCTACTCTACAACCTGGCGGGACTCTACTGGCATGCTGCAGGCGACGGCAGGCAGAGCGCGGCGTGCTACCAGCGCAGTGTCCGCCTTGTGCCCAACCACTACGCCGACGTGCCGTACACAAACATGGCGGCGCTGACGCTGCGAGCGGTCGCGCGGCCGCCGAGCCCAAACATGGCCGCCAAGCTGCTCTCTGTCTCGCTTGCCGTGAACCCCTACGAGGTGGGTACCACCACCAGTGGGCGCTACCTGGCGTCGCCGCTCGCGTGATTGCACCGCTCGCGATTGTGGTGTGGTCGTGAATCGGTTATTGATTCCGATTCGATCGTTGGGTCAGCGTGTTTCGTCTAGCATGTACCTGAGCAGTGAGAATGTACGTAGAATTTGTGTTCACTGTGCGGCTCGCTGTGTGTTCACTGTTGGCATGGATTGCAATAATTGCGATTGATTACAGATTGTTTTGATCGCCGTATCTTTCCAGCCAGTAACCAACTACCTTTTCGGGAACATGCTAGCGCTTCAAGGGAACATGTCTGGTGCGGCCAGCTACCACCAGGTGGCACTGCGGCAAGATCCCGACCTTGCTGCCGCTCAGCAGACGCTCCGAGCGATCCGGTGCTACGAACGCTTTCACATGGTTCGTAGCTAGAGGGCGCCAGTTACTCGATGGTTCAGTCGCCAATGGTTGTTGTTCGGATTAGTCTGTTGTTGTTGTTGTTGTTGCTGTTGTTGTTGTTGTTGTTGTTGTTATTGTTGTTGCTGTCATTGTTGTTGTTATTTGTGTCATTGCTGCTACTGTTCTTGTTACTGGTTTTGCTACCCCTATTCTCATTTGGTTGTTGTCGTTGTTCTTGTTTTTGTCGCCATTGCAGTTGTCGCTGTTTCTTCTACTGTCGTCGTCATTGATCATTGATCCATCCTTGCATCTGTTGTAACAGCAATTTCCTTTATACCTTGCTGCAGCGACAGAGGGATGAAGCAGAGGGCTTCAGCATGGCTGATGATGTGCCGGAGGAGGAGGAGGCTGGCACATTCAGCAGCATCATCAACGGCTTTGTTTGCGTGAGCCTCGGTGGTGTGGAGCACTGCGCGCTGCGGCAGTCGCTGCAGGAAGAGTGCTGCTCCCTGCTGGGATCTCCCGCCGGCGACCTGTTAGAGTTTGGTAAGAGACATGTTAGAGTTTGGTAAGAGACATGCTTAGAATCAGCTTAGAATTACAGTAGGTTACTTGAGAGGGTAGGTTAATGGAGTTCAGTAAGAGGGGTGTTAGAATTCGCTTAGAACTGGCTTAGAATTAACTGAGGTGACTTGTCAGAATTGGTTTAGACTTGGCTTAAAACTAGATGGGGTTAACGTGTTCGAAATCGTTTACATTTAGCTTAAAATTAGTATGGGGTGACGTGTTAGAGTTAGCTTAGACTTCGTGTGTACACTGAAAACGCAAAGCATGACGTCATAACCTTTCAAGTTCGTTGCCTTCACATTTTCTTGGTCTGATTCCTACAAATTTTCGTCGAGTTTTATCGAATGTTTATGGATTTCGTTGCCGAGTAGCCACATGTGTTTTTGGGCGCGCCAGACGAGTGCCTTGTGGATCGGCAGGCAGCCTGCTAGACTATGCCCAGCCTCGATCCACTTCGAACTGTGCTCGACAATCCACTGGAATCAGTGTGTTAGCCAGAAACCCGTCTACCCGTCTTTTGGCCGGCCTGTTCTTGGATGAGACAGATGAAATTTGATAGAGACGGCATGAGGGCGGCCCAATTTTATATATTACACACCTTGTATAACTGACAACAGTGCTTATAAGAATATAGAATCATATCGGATTCCTGTCTTTTTGGCATTTCAGACTAAATTTCCTCAATTTTAAAGTGAAGACCTCCCTCCTAGGGCGCTTACCGCCCGCAGCATCCTCACTTCGCTCAGATGGTGAGACTCGATCCCTGATTATTTTTCCTGCTAACACCCTGACTGGATTGCTGTCGGCGGACGGGTTGAGGCGGAGGGGGGATGGTATCCAATAGCCGTCCGAGTCAAGGAGTTAAATATAACAAGGAGAGGAAGCGGATTGGCTGTGTGCTTTTCGCCTCAAGGGCGCCATCTATGGACCATAATCAGCTGAAACGGCTGTGCAGACCGAACCCAGAGACAATAGAACACTAATCTGTTCTAGGGTCTCTGCCGAACCCAAATTTGGGCCAGATATGGCGGCGCTTCCTCTCCTTGCTATATTTAGCTCCTTGGTCCGAGTCACGTCTGCACGTCGATCGACGTCGCTTGTTTTCGCAGACGCTCTTCGAATTTCAGACGGCTGTTCGAGCATGGAGTCGAGCGTGCTGCCGCGGCAGCAGCTGTGCCGCGCATTGTACAAGCAGGACCTCAGCGTGTGCGCCGTGACCCCGGCCAAACGCGTCGACACGACGACGACGGCTGCTACGCCGACGACGAGTGTTGGCCACGACGACCGACTCGGCCATGCAGACGAGTATGAGGCCAGCGATGTATCGCTAGCCGTCGACATCAGTGCTGCAGAGTAGGTTGATTACAGTGAGGTTACACAGTCACGTGTTAAGAGTTAGAATACAGAGAGGTGATCGGGTAAACAGTTAAGAGTTAGACTAGACAGAGGTTTACTCGGTACCGATTCGGCTGTCTGTCAGAGCGAGATAGCCACGCCCCTTGGATATTGTTGCCAGGGTGGTCGGGGTGGTCAAATTGCCGATTTTGCTGTGCTTCGTTGCTCAGCAATATTTTCAGAGTGCCGCTGTTGCTAATTGCTAATACTGATTGGCTAGAGTCACGCCATTTAGTGCTAGACCAGGCATTCAGTTGAAATACAGTTTGGTACATAGTATTGCTTGGTGTGTTGCCCAATACTGTGAGCACATACTGTGGCCTGCTTAAGGAAAGTACGAGCAGATGAACTGTGTTAGTCTAATTAAGATGTCTTGATCCCTACAGGTCCCTGGATGATGATGATGATGATGATGATGATGACGAGGAGGAGGATCAAAACGAAGAGAAGAAGAGAGTTGATGCCTCCGTCCAGGAGGAGGATGTGGAAGGGGAGGAGGAAGTGGAGGAAGAGGAGGAAGGAGAGGAGGGCGTTCCTCGGGCCTACACGTCAGAAAGTCCGGTTAACGAGGAGATGCTGACTGAGCCGATACAGGTAACATCCAGCCACCAGCGTGATAGGGCATCTCTAGCAAATGGACATCTGTCTATAAAGGATACGTTTGGGGGTTTCCCTTATTACCCTTATATTCAGGCGTGATAGCATCTGACCAAACACTGCTATAACGTCCCACACTATGCACGTCTATGTACTGTTGCTGTCTTTGTGCTATGTGCTATGCTAGATCAAAACGACAGCTATGTGCTATAGTCTGTGTGCTGTTGACGTGCCGAGTAGCCAACACGTTGTTCGCAAAAGAATCCCATACGCATTCCAAGCTACCGCTTTCATCTAAGCCGGTGTTGTCTGCTCTGTTGTTGACAGCCAGCGCCGGTCGGCATCCTGCAGAGGGCAGCAGTGGAGTCGGACGGCTTGCTGCATCTCGAACCGCCGAAGGAGCCGAGCTCACGCGACTACGCGCCCGCACGCATGCCGGGCGTGCGCGACGACGACCTCCCAGGTAGTCTGCACTCGCGTCGTGGACAAATACGTCCGATTTTAGTGTTATTATTATATTTAGATGTGATAGAATTCACCAAAACGAACGAATGTATCTAATTTAGGTCGCTTAAATAGACATCTATATATGTATATCTATCTATCTATATATATATATGTATATATACATATACAAACATATATATGTATGTATATATGTATATATATGTATATATATATATATAATACAATTAACGTAATATATGCTAGTGCCATTATGCGATTTACTGTCGCTCTTTACTGCGATGACACAATATCCTGATATCTGTCAGTACGTTCTTTGCATTCTCAGAGCATCTTTTTGAGCCGGACATCAGCGCGGAGGTGGCAATGTGGACGACGCGTCCGTCCGACTGTAGCAAGCTGAAACAGGTGAACATCAAGAAGTTTGCAAGCACCTGGCTGTCCGTCTCAACTAAAAACATCAAGTAGGTAGCGAGACACTTCTAGAAGTGGGGAGGGCGGGAATCGCAAGCGAATAGCAGATGTGTAGTAGTGGCTCTCTCCAGTTCCAGACGCATGATGCTTGTGATTGGTGGTTTTGCCACATACATCGTACATGGCAACATATGCAGGGTTGTGATTGGTGGTTTTTCAGCATATACGCGACGTCACATGCCGCGTGCGATTGGTGGTTTTTTTCAGCATACACGACGTCACATGCCGTGTGTCATTGGTGGGTTTTTCAGCATACACGCGACGTCACACGCCGCGTGCGATTGGTGGTTTTTTTCAGCATACACGACCACGTCGATTTTGCGGAGGACATAGGTGACGTGACCCCTCAGCAGCCGCTGTGCAGGATGACCGTCCCACACAGCGCGCTCATGTTCGACCACCTGAGCGGCATCTCCGGCCGCGCACAGCTCGCCTACAGCCACGAGCTCGGTCTGAAGGAAGTGCTGCAGATGCTGGGAGGCAGGCAGGAGAGCATGGGCACCGTGGCGACGCACATCGCACTCGCGCTGCAGAAGGTAGTAGTAGTAGTAGTTAGGCTTGCGTGTTCTTCATGCGATGGTGCGATCGTTGGGTGGGTGGGTGGTAGAAGAACTCTTTCCCTCTGTCTGTCTATCTGTCTGTCTTCTCTCTCTCTCTCTCTCTCTCTCTCTCTCTCTCTCTCTCTCAAGTATGTAGTAGCTTGTCTTATATATTCGTGCTTGAAGTGGCACTGCTGGGTTCGCGGGAACAGCGGGCTCGTTTTCCAAAATTGCACTTCTGCAGTCGAAGTTGCAGTGTGAAGATGGTTAGCCTAGGATGTGACTCGATAAAACTCCTGCTTCCGCTGTTCCAGCATCATACGAGAAGGCTTCTAGCGTAGGGCACGAGTTGGCGATATGAACGTGTTACGAGAGTGAAAATGAGTACTGTCATGGTTTCTTGCAGAATGAGACATCGTGGGTACTGCAGACGCTGGCGGCGCTCTACTGGAGGGTGCAGGGTCGCGCAACCGAAGCCATAGATTGTCTGAGGCAGGCCCTGCACCATGCACCGAGACACACGAAGGTACGGAACTCTCATGCGGCCTCGGTCGCACCAGTGTTTCCCCCCCAACGTTTATGATGTAAATAGGTAACTGTTTCCCAGTCCCCATGTTTATAGGAAGGAAAAACTATTTTATATATATATATATATATATATATATATATATATATATAAATGATAAGTAAAAACACACGGACACCCATGAAGAGATAAGATAAATTTATCTATATAAAATATATATATAAAATATATATATACGGAAAATGGAATGTGTGCCTCAAAACGGGAACGAATTTTACTATAGGTTGTGGAGTAAGAAATCCAATATTTCGAAATCAGGACTGGCGTGAGTTCTCAGGCTTGTTTCTTAAGACCGGGTGCATTCCCGCACCTTGTTGTTTGTAAACCACTGAGCTACCTACTCACTCCCGTTGCTCCCTCTCCATCTCCTGTCTTCTTCCCACACGCCGTAAATTTGCCGAAATTTCGTTGCGCGCGACTCACCATCGCGTTGCCGTGGCGACCGCTTGCAGGACATTGCTCTCGTGAGTCTGGCGAACGTGCTTCATCGCTCGCGGCTCTACAACGACGCGATCATCGTCAACAACATGGCGCTCGACATCGCGCCAAACCTCGTCGTCATCCACTTCACGATGGCCAACGTGCTCGCCGCGAAGGTAGGTCTACGTGCTTCGTGGGGGGAGGGGGTTGCAGCAAAGGTAGCTCTACGTGCTTCGTGGGGGGAGGGGGTCGCCGCGAAGGTAGGTCTACGTGCTTCGTGGTGAAGGTAGGTCTACGTGCTTCGTGGTGAAGGTAGGTCTACGTGCTTCATAGGG